GCCCCTGTCCTCACCAATTGACATCTTGACCATCCAGTCAGCGAGGCTATGCTCCAAGATCCCACCCTGCAGGTGGCTTCGGGTGTAGTTGATCAGAAATGGCAGAAGTTTAGTCACTTCCTCCTTAAGACAGGAAGTCTCCTCAGCCAACCACGAGCACAGAGAGCGGAATGTGGCGAAAACGAAAGGGTCGCCATAGCGGCTCGGCTCCACCTTTAATATCATGAATAAACGAGTCATTTATTCACATTTAATATTTTCTCTTTACTCCTAGGCTCTACACGCCAGCACAACAGAAATAATTTTGTGCACAATAAATTATCATATTTCTAGTATCACCAACAGATAGCTTGTTATGTTAGTTTTCTCATCATCTCTTTACCTGCTGCAAGAAGTACATCAAGCCAGAGAAGGCCTCCTCCAGGACCCCGAGGACCTGCCTGCTCTGCTGCAGACTGAGGGTAGCGATTGAGCTCTGAGAAGGTGCAGCAGCCTGCGGGACTCCCGGACTGCAGGCCTGCTCTATGGCCGCCTCCATGATTCGGTAACAGCCTACGAGGAGCACAGTTCAGATTAAATGACTGAGGTGGTTAACCTTGATTAGATCTCAATACCTAGAAAATGACTTACTGAGTCAGATGATGCCTGCTTATTTAATTAAACTTCAATTGTACTTGCGCCCAACAAGAAACGCTGTTACATGACAACCAAAACATGCAAATGAGGACACCAAGATAACCACTTTAAATCAGCTGAGTGAACAGTTACATGCAAATCATACAACATGAGATTCCAAGTCAACTTCAGCTCTAAGATTAAACTGAAGTAAGAAAGCTTTACAGCAAGATTTAATCAACCTTTTTCCTTTTTTATGAAGCGTCATCCTGGAAAATAATAAATTTAAAGTTCCAATCAACATACTATTATGATTAAGTACACTACCTGTTATTGTGTGTTGCACCTCAGGGGTCAAATCATTACCAGGCAGTTCTTCCAAACCCATTCTGACCTCCACGCACGCCCGGTTCACCAGTAAGCAACAGAACTTTGGAGGTCCCGCCATCTCCCAGCCATATAAATCCAGCAGGCAAGCACTGAGGACCAGGATTGATCCGATATGTCTCGGTGTCAATTTAGCCTGCACCATAGGTCTCAGCATCTCCCATAAACGGCCCACGACTGCCTTCAGCTCCTCACTCTCCACTGCCACTCCTGCTGGGGGCAGAAACTGCGCCAACTGACCACACATGCCTAACCTGGTTCTCTCTGTGGACTCGCAGAAGTCTTTGGAGAGTCTGACCAGCAGCGAGAGGAGCTCTGGAGTGTGTTTGCTCCATGCTTTGTCCTTGTTTTTACCAGAGAGGAGCAAGCCCAGCAAGGCGAGCCCCTTCTCGTGGCTCAGAGTCTGGTTCAGTTCCACCGCTTGGCACAAAGCCGAGATGGCGCCCCTGCTCA